TGCGTCCTGTCGACTTCTGGGCTGGACGGAGGGGTGGCCGGGGGCTTTGTCAACATGAGTCAGTCGGTGGTTTAAAGAAACTCGTTTGTGTGTCCCGAGGGCAAGTGGTACAAGGTCAGTCTCCAAAGTGACCAGCCTCCACGCTCCCTGAGCTCCGGCTTCTCCACGGCCGCTGGGAGCCGCCCTGCAGTCTGCGCGCCCCTCCTGCTCTGAAGACGCCCTAGCGGCCGCAGCAGCCTGGCCCACAGCTGGGAGCCCGCAGCTGCTCTGGGTCGCTAAGAGGTAGTGGGTTTTGGACAGAAGACTTGATCCATGGCCACGTGCTTTCCGGGCTTATGTAAAGCCAACCTGGATTTGTACAGAAATGATGCTTTCAGAGAACATCCAGTCAATGCCAGACCACGGCCAGACCTGGCGCTGGAAAAGGCTGCCTGTCCCACTCGCGTTGGCTCTGCATCGTGCTGGCTGCCTGGCACCAGGCCTGGCCCGCGAGGTGAGCACTGCGGTGTGGCCAGGGGATGGAGGCGCTCCTGGAGGCCTCCCTCTGTTGGGGCCCGAGGCTTACTCACTGCTCAGGCCCGGGCGGCAGGCGGCCAGTGGCCCGGGACACCGCCCCGTCCGCGGCAGGTGGGCCCTCCTGGCCACCTTCAGGTATCTTCCCCCCAAAAGGCTCTGACACAGACTCCTGCGCCATTTCTGAGACTGGCTCGCTCTGGCCTCCGGAGCCACCTGGCCTGGAAGCAGCCGGGCAGCCTCGGGTCACACCCAGAGCGCGGCCTGGAGTGCTGCTCCGCGCGGATCCCGGTGCAGAGCGTCCTGCACACAACGCCAGAGAGCAGAGCAGAAGCCAGGGTGTGAGAAGCACAGGGTTCACGGTCACCCCACGGGGCGGGGCTCCCGGCCCCTCCCAGCCTGAGCACTGCTTCAGCTGTCACTCTCCAGCTGTCACTCATCAGCTGTCACTCATCAGCTGTCACTCTCCAGCTGTCACTCATCGGCTGTCACTCTTCGGCTGTCACTCATCAGCTGTCACTCTTCGGCTGTCACTCATCGGCTGTCACTCTTCGGCTGTCACTCATCAGCTGTCACTCATCAGCTGTCACTCTTTGGCTGTCACTCATCAGCTGTCACTCATGGGCAGTCACTCATTGGCTGGTGAGGGGACTGTGGTGTTGCCACAGGGGTTGAAGGTGGGGTCACCGGGTGGTCACAGCTGACCCGAAGCTAGATCACCCCAAGTGCAAGTAGTCTGAGACTCAGGTGTAGAGTGACAGCCACAATTGAGGTAAAGGAACGGCAGTCCAAGGTGGTGCGTGTTGGGGGCGGGGTCAGAGAAGCGTGTGCTGAGCCCCTGCCTGAGCCCGGACTCCCCTCTGTCTCTGAGAGGCAGAGAGCAGACTCCCCTGTTACAGTGCGGGATCCGCCTTCCCCACGCCTGTGTGCATCCCCCCAGCTTGGCACCGGCTCCTCTGAGTCCCTCCTCTCCTGGCCATCCCTGGTCCCACCTCTTCAGGTTCCAGGAAGAGATTCAATAGCAAAACAAAGGAGAAGGCGGTACCAGGTACGCCGGGCGCAGGCTCCCCAAAGCTGAGCGCTGCCTGTGTGCCCCCGGGCCTTGGGGTCTGGGGCTCCGGCTTCCGCTGCTTCTCAGCTCCCTGGCACCGCAGCCTGGCGTGCAGGGCTCCGGGCCCCACGTCTCCAGCAGAGAGCGTGGTCAGCAAAGGGTTCCCGAGAGTGTGGACCAACCCTTCTGCTACCTTGGAGGAGGCGTTGGTGTTGGCCGAGTCGGAGTGGGGTGTTTGCTCTGTCCCTTCCGCTGGCCGACGGTGCCGGGACTGAGGTGGCCTGTGTGCTGTCTGGAGTGTCCCAGGAAGGGACGGCCGCGCTTCCCTGTGGGAGTGTGCACGTCCGAGCACCTTAGGTTTCATCTCTCTCCTTGGCTGGCCCAGCTGCTGGCCACCTGTCCCTTGGACGTCCTGCTCCTACCCCGACCCCTGTGTCCTCGCTGAGGGTCGCTGCATCCTTTGCCCACGTCTCCTCTCTCCCCGCAGAGCCAAGCCATGCGGATCGTCCGGACCGTGGGGCAGGCCTTCGAGGTGTGCCACAAGCTGAGCCTGCAGCACACGCAGCAGAGCGCGGACGGCCAGGAGGACGGGGACAGCGAGTGGCACAGCCACAGCTCCGGGGACCCAGGTAGGCCGTCGCCACCGGGATTGGCAGGCAGGCAGACATAGGCAGCCCCGCCGTCTCGGACCTAAAATGCTTACTTCCCCTACTTCTCTCTAGATTCCAAATGTTCCTTAAGGAGCGTGTACTCTCGTAGCAGACAGTTGATGTGTTTAAACTGTCAAACAAGGAAGCCTTTAAGCACGACATCAGGAACCACATTTTATTTTATTTTTTTTAAATATATTTTATTGATTTTTTACAGAGAGGAAGGGAGACGGATAGAGAGTTAGAAACATCGATGAGAGGGAAACATCGATCAGCTGCCTCCTGCACACCCCCTACTGGGTATATGCCCCAACCAAGGTACATGCACTTGGCCGGAATCGAACCTGGGACCTTTGAGTCCACAGGCCGATGCTCTATCCACTGAGCCAAACCAGTCAGGCAGGAACCACATTTTAAAGGCAGGGCTGCTGCTGCCAAATCTGACTCCCAAGACCATTCTGTTCCCATCGGAGGGTAGAGCTGACCGCCGCCACGGGGCTTCTGCTCCTCTTTCTGAATTCCATCGTCCTGGGAACCCTCAGCGCGGACATTTTCCTGATAGCTTCCATTTTTTATCTGGAAGATAAACTGAAACAATTAGAAATAATAACTCCTCTTTGGTGGTAATTTCCTCAAATCACAGGACTATACATGAGACTCAGCTAATGGCATTTTCTGAATTCCACTGCCCCTGTGGAGAATGTCACTGACTTTCTACGTGTAGACATTTCCTGTCCATTTTAGGAAAACCCGTCAGGCCCAGTGCGGTTCCTTCAAAGTTTAGGATGAGAAGCAAAGCGCTGAGTGGGGCTCTCCCAGGAGGCCAGGCCGGGGTCAGGCGGGTCGGCGGTGCTCCCTGCATGTCACATGGGCTTCTGTGAGGACAGGAAGTGGCAGGGCCCTCCTGTCCCTGTGCAGATGTAGGTGTGGCCTGTGGGGCGATGTGAGTTGTAGCATCAGGCGACACACACAGGTTCATGTCAAGGGGGGCAGGTGCTGCGGTGTGGAGAGCCCGCGTGTGCAGGAGGGCTGGAGACTGGGCGGAGCTGCAGTTCGAGGCCAAAGGTGTTCTCCCTCCTCTTCTCGGGAGGTGGGCTTTGTTCCCCTGAGACCTCCACCTGATTGGGTGAGACCCACCCACCCCAAATGGGGTAACCGGCGTGACTCTCCGTCCGCTGACTTACACGTTAACCTCTCCTGAGAAACACCTTCTCAGCAACATCGGATAATGCTGGTTCAAACGCCACGTTGGCACGCGTCGCTAACCGTCACACGAGTGACACGCCGATGGTGTGGGGGTGCGGGGCTGGCAGCCCACGGGGGCAGCTGAGCCTGGGCTCTGGCACTTCTCAGTGGGCGATCACGTCAACTTCCCTAGTCTCTCTGGATCTTTCTTTCCTCGTCTGCCAGGGGTTGTGAGACGATGCGTGTAAGTCAGCATCGTGCCAGCGAATAGCAGTGCAAACACGCACCAGCTGTTGGCGGCTTCCCCGTTCTGAGTGTGACCTACAGGACCGGCTCTGCAGGAGGGCGCCCCTGGCCCGGGGCCGGCTGTGCAGTGCTTAACGGGGTGCCTCTAGGCAGGGCCCCGGCCAGGAGCGGGCCTACTTCGAGTGTAGTGTTGGGGATACTGCCGGTCTGGGCGGCACGTTTCCTTGGCGAGGAAGGCTGCCTCTGCCTCCTGGTCACACATTTTGCGGCCGCACTCGCCTTGTTCCTGCCCACAGCCGTCTGGGGACACTCTCCTCTCTGTAAGCGCCTTCCCGGCGCATTGCCGACTGCGCCGGGTCCTCCGTGCTGTGGGCGCCCGACATGCCAGCTGGCCTGTTGGCGGAATGAGCGGGCTCGTTTTTGTAAAGAATCTCCCCCCCACGTCAGGAGCTTCCCAGTCGGGGGTCCCTGCCTGCAGAGGAGGAGCCGCGGTGGGAGCGGGCAGTGCGCCCCGCTGTCCGGGCCTGTCGGCGGTCCCTCTGGGCCTCCGCAGGGCTTGGGGATGTGTCCTCGGTCACTGTGTGTCCTCTCCTCCCCATCCTGCCCCCCGTCCCGACCCGGGGCCGATTACCTTTTGTCTGTCTTGGCAGCAGCTGCCCGGGCCAATCCCGGGGCTGGGGGCCAGGGGCCGCTCTGCCCCTCGGGTTTCCTTGACTCCCAAGAGGGTTTCCTGGGAGAGGCCCCGTTCCCGGGGAGGCAGCCCGCCTCCCAGCAGCAGCCAGCCCCCCTGGGGAAGAAGAGAGCTTCCGGGAGATACCCTCCCCATCTCGATGGCTATTTATTGTACCTGTTACCTCTGCTGGACCTGGGCATCCTGCTCACCTGTGCCCCCTGTCACCTGTGCCCCCCAGACCTGTTCCTCTCCCCTCACACCTGTTGTTCTTCTCACACACCTGTTCCTCTCCCCTCACACCTGTTGTTCTTCTCACACACCTGTTCCTCTCCCCTCACACCTGTTGTTCTTCTCACACACCTGTTCCTCTCCCCTCACACCTGTTGTTCTTCTCACACACCTGTTCCTCTCCCCTCACACCTGTTGTTCTTCTCACACACCTGTTTCTCTCCCCACACACCTGTTCCTCTCCCCACACACCTGTTTGTCCCCCCACACCTGTGCCCCATATCTGTTCCTCTCTCCTCACACCTATTTCTCTACCCCACACTCCTGTTCCTCTTCCCCACACAGCTGCTCCTTCCCCCACACACACTCCTGTTTCTCTTCCCCACACAGCTGCTCCTTTCCCCCACACACACACCTGTTCCTCTCCTCCACACACACACCTGTGCCTCTCCTCACACACCTGTGCCCCCACACTTGTCCCTTCCTCCCACACCTGTGCCTCCCCCTCCACCTGCTCTCCCACACCTGCGCCCCACCTCATCAGACCACCACTGCCTGATCATTGGTTTCTCCTTATTCCAGTTCCTTCCTTCATTGGACAGATGTTTGTCCAGTCCCCCCGACGAGCCAGGCTCGATTCTGGGACACTGTAAGCGAGACAATGGGCCCTGTTGGCGAGGAACTCACAGTCAGAGTTGGGTGGGGACACAAACCAGTGACCGATCAACTCGATCATTTTGGTTTGTGTAGACAAGCAGGTGAGGTGGGCCAGGGCAGGTGGACTCCGGGCGGGAGGCAGGCGGTGCCTGGAGCCAGACGGGCGGCTGTGAGCCCCAGCCTTAGCAGCTGTGTGCCTCGGTTTCTTTATCTGTCAAATGGGGGTAGTGACAGTGTTTGCCTCTTAGGTTGGTTATGAGGGTAAATAAGGTAATACATGTCAAACCCTTAAACTTAGTACATAGAACATAGTACGTGCCATTTTAGCAGTAATATTGCAATTTTGAGGCAAAAAGTAGCCATTTCAAGCGCTTTTGGACTGAGCTGATCACCTCTTGTTTGTGCGATGTGAAAGAATGGCGTCTCTTGGTATTGCTGCCTGCTTCAGTCCTTCACCAAGACCCCACCGTGCTGGGCCCCTCCCCACAGGCCGTTTGCAGTCCTGTGTGCCATGCCACCCCAGCCCCTTCCCCCCCTCACCACCTGAGCCTCTGGCTCTCCCTGCAGGGCTGCTGCCCTCTGCCCTCTACCCTCTGCCCCGCCCACGCCTCCTCTTCGTCTCACGAGTGACACAGCCTCCTGCGGGCTCTGGCTTGTGTCTGCTGCTCCGTCCGGTGCAGTGAGAGCTCGGACTTCGCTTCCTCGTCTCGGTCCCGTAGGCTCTGTCAGATCCATCCAGGCTGCTTCCTAAGTCCTGCCTGATGGTGACTGAACGCGGCCTGCCTCAGGTCTCTCCTGCCCTTCGGGGCCTCTGCCCTGGGGCAAGGTCAGCGCAGGCTCTGGGGGCCGGCCTTGAGCCTCCCTGTCCTATTCCGCAGTCACGCAGCCCTGCCATCCAACTGGGCCTGACAGCCCCGGCGAGGCTGGGAGGCCCACGCCCTGAGCGGATGCCCCCCTGAGCTGGAATGAGGTTGAGAGGACTCACCCCTCTCCCAGGGTCCCCACACCCTGTCAACAGAGACATCCCGTCCAGGACGGAGGAAATGCCGCCTTTGTTCCTAGACTTTAAAAATAGACTCTGTCTCACTGGGTTGGGAGCGGATGGACTTGCCTGGAAACAGGTGAGGATGTTGGGCAGCTATGGTGTTTCCTGGCGTGACACCGCGACACTGCTGTGTCCCATCCCTTCCCGCCTTCCCTGTTGCCCTGCAGGCCGCCAGCTCCCTGGAGCCGAGAGGGCCTCGCCAGCTACTGCGGAGGAGACGGACATCGACGCCGTGGAGGTCCCCCTCCCGGGCAGCGACGGCCTTGACTTCAGCCGCGGGGTGACCGACCTGGATGCCGTGAGGAAGGATGGCGCCTCCCACACAGACTCCAAGGTAGGCAGAGGTGCCCGCTCAGGGCAGGGTGACAGGGTCCCCGGGCTCCTACATACCCAGTCCTCCCTGAGACACAGCCAGCCGGTCGGTGTCACCCGCCCTCAGCCAGCTCGTCAGGGGCAGAGCCTGCGCCGTCTGGAGGGCCCTCTGTGCCCGTCCTCTGCCTGCCTTCCTGGCACCCTTGCCCTGTGAGTGGAGTGGCCTCCGTCGGGTGCCCCTCGCCTGCCTGAGGGCCAGCAGCAGGGGTCGGGGGCAGCCGCTCCTGCAGCGACATCTCTGCTCAGGGCTGTCTTAGTGGAAGTGGCCACCTGCCAGGGGCGGCAGGAAGGGACAGGAAGTGCTTTCCACGGACAGGGAGGACCCCGCAGGTGCCCCCGCATAGCACAGAGAGGGAGGCCCCATGAAGCCCTGCCCAGGTCACGCTCAGTCTCCTCTGCTCCTGCAGGTGCCGCCGCAGGAACCCGTGCCCACAGCCTCGCCCCAGATGCCGCTGCCCCCGCCCTGTGCACAGGCCCCGGGCGTGGGCACGCCGCTGTCCTCGCAGCACCAGCTGCAGCTCCTGCACCAGCTCCTCCAGCAGCAGCAGCAGCAGACGCAAGTGGCCGTGGCCCAGGTCCTGCTCAGCCTCCTCCCCGCCGCCCGGCTCCGCACGCACAGGCTGGATGTGCCCCCCCACGAGGGCCCAGGGCAGGTTTAAAGTCAGAGCCTGTGGATCGCTCGGCCGGACCCATGCTTTTGGGCTGGGGGCGGGCAGGGGGGTAGGGCCGCAGGGGGCAGGGGGTTTCTGCGTGTCCCGCTGAGCTGGGGCTTGGCTGCTTGGCTGGGATGCATGGGGGGGGGGGGGGGAGTTGAGGTGACTGGGGAGGCCGGTGCTCCAGCCCCTCCGCTCCGCCTTGCTCATTGCTGGGGCTGGGAGGTGGCTTTGCAGTCAGGCCGTGACCCTGAGGCCCCCTTCCAGGAGCTTAGTGTGAATTTGTGCCAGACGCCTTGGCAGAGACCTCCCCCTGCGTCCAGCGCTTGTCCACGCGGTCCCCATGCCTCCGTCAGCGCCCCAGGTGTCCCAGTGGGTCTGGCACCCAATGGGCCTGGAGGTCATGCTGGTGGGAGCTCAGCTGTAGTGTCAGTCACAGCGAGAGGAGCTGGCTGAGGTCTGCAAGCAGAGTTGGAGCCTGGAGGCTTGTCGGGGCCACTGGCTTGCAGAGGAGGGGAGCGAGTCCCCGTCGCTTCCTGCTTCCTCTGCTGAGGGAGGCCTCCGGCGTCCACATGGCCCTGGGCGGCCAGGAGCGGTGGGACGAGACCATTCGTCCCTTTAAGGCCGACTGACTCCGAGGTTGAGCCCTGCAGTCAGGAGGGCGGAGGTGGTGGGAGCGTCCTGGGGCTGGAGGTGGGCTTGCTGTGTGCTGAGGGGCACGTGTGAGCCCACGGCCCGGCGGGCGCATCCCCCAGACGGCGTGCAGGAGGCACCGGCAGCCTGGCCACACCAGGCAGCCTCAGCTCGGGCCTGAGAGGACCTGTGACACAGGCCCCGGGCGCCTTTGGCAGCCAGGCTTTGAGACGGGCATCAGTGGGCATGGCTCCCACGTGGTGCAACCTGAAACGCCCACAGGAAGGAAGAGGCTGCTGCCCAGGCTCGGGGTTGTGGGTGCGCAGAGCAGGGCCACGCGTGCAGCCAGGGAACACACTGCGCGCTGTCGGCGACAGAAGCCTTCGCTGGGAGCGCCGCGTGCTGACGGCAGCACAAAGCCTGGCTCGGGCCACCCGCCACTCGCCCTTCCCGGAAGTCCCGGCGAACACGGATCATTCAGCGTATCAGTTGCCAAGTAATTATTATTTATCCAAGAGTGGGCGTGGGCACGTTCCCGTCATGTCCTCAGAGATGCGCCCGAATCCGCAGTCACTGCTGAGGCCGACGAGGAGCCATTTCAAACGCACCATCTCCACAGCCGTGTGCACAGTGTCCGTGGGCACAGCCCGCGGCCTGTGGCTTCCCACGGCTCACCGCCACCAGGACGCACCCCGCGTGCCAGCGAGGCCTCACCGCTGTCCTCTCCTCCGACGCTGGGCCGGGCCCACCTTCCGCTGCAGGTCTCCGCCCCTTTCCTCACCTGGGAGAGCATCTCCAGGGCTCTGCCCGGGCCCGGCTTTGGGTAAAGCTATGGTGTAAGGCACGTGGGTTAACAGACGGGCCTCCTGGCGTCTCCCACGCCTTCAAGCAGATGGACCCGCTGCGCGGGGTCTGCGCCGGCAGCCCGCTCGGCCGACACTGCTGCCACCACGCTGGGGTCTTGTCATTGAGCGCCAGCGGTCCCAGGGCCGAGGAGGGTGTGCCGTGGCCGCCCACTTCAGATGGGCACATCCGGGCCTCCACGAGACCCTGAAGAGCCTGCGATAAAGACAGTTTCTTGCAAGCACGTGCCCCCCACTAGGGGGGGCCCCTTGTTGCTATTTACACCCCCACCCACTTACCATCAAGGCGAGCCCAGCTCTGCTCTTGTCATTGGCAAGACTCAGTCTCAGACCTCAGCCTCCGCCACTCCTGAATTCGCTCCGTGCTGGTTCAGACGGCCCCTGGCCTTGAGGCACTGGGCAAAGGGGGCGTGCCCTGTCACCTTGCCAGGTTAGACCTCCGTCCCTCATGGACACAAGCCCCTCTGCCCACCTTCCCCACCCAGCATGAGGCTCGCCTGGCTGCCCTAGCTCCTGCTTCTCAATGTACCAGTCAGGCAAGGCTGTGAACCGGGGGTCGGGGGTTGGGGGGACACCTGCATGGCCATGGGCTGGGCCCACCTGCTCCCGGGTGCTCTGGCCTGGCTGCCTGGCTGCAGTGGCGTCAGCCGCCTCCTTCCCGGTGGCTGGCTCCTGGTGAACTCATGAGGAGAAGGTTATTCTACTCAGTGTTGCTGCCTAAGACCCGCCCCCACCCACACCCTGCGCTTGATGGAACCAGTGTGGTCCCGAGGCTCCGAGATGGCCTGCGCTGTAGTGAGTTAGAGAAATGGCGCTCAACCACTCTGCACCGGCCTGTAGTAGCGTCTGTGCGTGGCTGCTCCCGTCCCAGCGCCCGTGCCCGGGCCCCTTGCATGCTGAGACCCGGCCTCTGCCTGTGTGTCTGGGGTGGGGGCCAACAGCCATTCCCAGGCCTGTGCTCCCCGACTCCAGCCTGGCCCTGCCCCCACTTCTGACGGAGGAGCTGGAGTCCAGGCAAGTGGGCAGTGGTCTGGCGCTGGGCGGGCTGAGGGTGGGAGCCAGTTTCGGGAGCAGCACAGAGGGAGGCCGAGCCCAGAGCTGGGCTGCATCAGGGACCTGCCCGGTGGTCTGTGCCAGAACCATTGTCACCGGAGGCCCACGGCCCGGCCAGGAGACACACATGTTTGTGCCAGGGCTCAGCATTCTGAAAGGAAAGGGCTGGACGCAAGTGCAGGGCGGGGCGTGGGGACCGGGCTCACGCTCCCTGGGTGCTTCACGGCCCATCGGCCCACCGGGGTGAGAGCGTGGGCCACGGCGGTGGCGGCTGGAGCCTGTCCCCGTGTGCTGGCGGGCAGCGGCTCCGCACTGGTTCCAGACGGGCAGCCTCTCGTTCGTGCCCCAGGCTGGGGACACCTGGGTGTCCCCGTGTTTGCAGAGCGCCGTGCTCGCTCCACCTCACGCAGCTGTGCCCCGCCGGAGCTTGGCCACCTGCAGAGGAAGCTGCTTTTTTCCCCCCCGTGCCCGGGCACTGGCCACATCCACCTGGGGGTGGGGTCATAGGCCTTCTGAGCCGCTAGGCCGCCCTGGGCGGTGAGATGGAGACAGTGAGGTGCAGGGAGAAGTGAGTCGCCTACGGGAGCAGAGGGAGCAGCGGGCCGCTGCTGGCAGGCTCTCCGGCTGGGATGTTCAGGTGCAGGAGCCCCCAGGTGCGGGCTCAGTGTGCAGAATCATCTGCTCTGTGCGCTGAAAGTTGAGTCTCACGCTTCTGTTTTGTCCTGAAGAACCTAGAAACTCTGTCTGCTCAGCAGGCTCTTCTCAGCGACACGCTGGGCAGTAAGCCACTTGCAGGTGGAGGCCTCCTGTCCCTCCCACAGCCCTGTCCTGTTCCTCAGGACCAGCAGGTTTGGGGACTCGGGCGAAATATCTCTGTGCCTCGGTTTGCAAGGGAGATAAAGCCTCACAGGCCCTGCCCAGCGTCTGCCCTGACCTCGGTTCACGGGTGTCAGCTGAGGCCTTGGGGACGGCAGATTTCCTTCAGAGGCCCCAGGCCTCCCCGCTTCCCCCGGCCTCTCCTGGGAGCCATGAAGGGAAATTGGCTGCTGATCTCCTAAGGGGCCCCCCTTAGAAGAAAGGTCAACCGCAAGGTCATGGCTAAAATCTGCAAGGGGGGGGCGCCCCCCCCCTCAGGGGGGGTCTGCGTGCTGCCCTGGGGACAGGCTGTGGCTGCTGGGCCCTCTTTCAAATTGGCTGATGGGGTTGGGGGCGGGCGAGGGGCAGGGGGGGGCTGCCGTTTTTACTCTTGGAGAAACGTGGGTTTTTCTGGCTTAAACTTCTCTTCAGAAATGCAGAGCCTTCCCGCCAGCTCCTCCAATGCCTTCCCACTGCCCTCCCGCCCCCGCCCCCGCCCCCCCCCCCCCAGTGTGGGTCTTTCTCTGCACCTTGCCCATGGCTGCCACGCTCACGTCACCCCCACAGCGACCCCTTAATGCCCTTCTAGGCACAAGGTCACCTGTGTGAGCATCTTCCTGCCTGGGGCTCCATTTCCTCGGGGTCCTTCTGCTCAGTGTGTCCCACCGCGAGCTCTCCGGGAGCCGCCCGGGACACGCAGGCAGCGGGCCCAGTCCGGGGGCCATAGACATAGGAAGGGATGGACGGTCAGGGGACGGGGCTGACACCACAGATGTGAAGACAGACTTGGTGGGGGCCACCTCACAGTTTTGAAAGGGCTGCAGGGGCGTCAGGTTCTCAGTGTTTGGGGGTGACTGCTGTGAGCTGCTTCTTGGAAACACCAGGATGACAAGCCCAGGTGCCGCTTCGTCTGGGGTTGAATGTGGGGTCATGTCTGGTCCCTGCGAGCGCCCCGGGTTGGCATTCACGTCTGTCTTCTCCGCCTCTCTCTTCTCCACCCCCTCGTCTCTGCTTCCTGCGTCAGGTTCACTTGCTGAAGGACCAGCTGGCTGCGGAGGCGGCGGCGAGGCTGGAGGCGCAGGCCCGCGTGCACCAGCTCCTGCTGCAGAACAGGGACGCCCTGCAGCACGTGTCCCTGCTGGTCAGGCAGGTGCAGGAGCTGGAGCTGAAGCTGTCGGGACGGAGCACCAGTAAGTCAGGGCCCGTCTGCCGGCCCCTGGCTGCCCCGGGGGGGCGGGGGCGCCACAAGTTCTTCCCCAGAAGCTCTTGGCGGGCCGACCTGCTTGGCATTCCAGCCGAAACCCAAGGTCCACCCGGGGGACCTGCACGCCAGGGCCCGACGGGTCTCGGCTGCTCCCAGCCCAGGGCCCAGCTGCCCGTCACCGTCACCAGCCGGGTCCCCAGCCTCCCTGGGCCCTCGGCTCGCCACCCAGGCTTCCCCCTGACACACCACGACACACGCTCGTGGCCAGGCCTGGCGGGCGTGGCTCGCTGTCTACCTGGGCTTTCCCTCGCGAGCACAGAGAGCAGGACGGCTCTCCCGCAGGAGGTGGAGGCGCTGCTGTCGGTGCTGTGCTGCTGGATGGCGGTGCCTGGCGCCTGGCCTCTGTGCCCAGCTGTCTCCTGGCCAGACCGGGAGGTGCAGCTCCACGCTGCCCTTGAGCCTCTGGGGCTGACCGTGTCCAACTCAGAGATGAGGAGGTGCTCTGGCAGGTTGAGGACGAGAGGCGTGGAGCCAGGGTCAAACCGGGTCTAATTACAAAACTAGTGCTTTTCCTGTGGCCCCAGTAGCTCCCCTGACGATCGCCTGGCTTCTCTAAAACATGCCTTCCCAGGCGCCTGAGATGGGGCCGCAGGGGCTGCAGGGCGGGCTCTGCTTGTACAGCCCAGAGCCCTGGACGGGCACCCCTGCCCGTCCCCGCCTGGAAGCCAAAAGATTTTATTTTTGTCCCTTGAGCCCCCCCTCCCCCCACGGTGGTTAGTCTGATCCCAGGCCACCCCGAGGGTCACCACGTCCTGCTGCCAGACTCCGCCTGGACCTCATTCCCCACAAACCCCACTCGTCCGGGGTCCTGCCCACCCCCCGCCACCTACCCCCACCTGCACCCATCCCAGGGCTCCCCCCCTGCAGCCTGGCATTGGCTGTGGGGTGCGACAGGCTGAGGACCGTGCCCTGACCCTCACCCTCTGTCCGCAGTGGGGTCCCAGGACAGCCTGCTGGAGATCACCTTCCGCCCCGGAGCCCTGCCCGTGCTCTGCGACCCCACAACCCCCACTCCGGAGGACCTGCCTTCGCCACCCCTAGGCGCCGGCCCGGCCCTGCCTGCAGGCAGCCCCTTAGGTAGGCGTGACTGCTTGGTGAAGCTGGAGTGCTTCCGGCTCCCCGGGGCGCGGGGCCCTCCGCTGGGCGGCCTGGAGCTGCTCCGCTTCCGGGAGTCGGGCATCGCCTCTGAGTACGAGTCCACCACGGACGAGAGCGAGGAGGAGCCACCGCGCCTGCTGCACGTGCGGCAGCGCCGGGAGCCGGGCGACAGCCTGGAGGACACGGTCGCTGTGTAGAGAGGCGGTGGGCCCGGGGCCATAGCCGGGTGTGTTCTGTTTCGGAGCATTGGGCTTTGCTCCAGAGGGTGAAGTGGAAGCCATCGGAGTCCCCGAGGGGATCGGCTACTCTCCCAGGTGGCCTTGCAGAGTCGTGGCTTTGGGACGGTCCCCGAGGGCCCGCTGGCTCCTCGCCGTGTCTGGAAGGCCCGAGCCACGAGCTGCCCTCCACGTGGTCCGACGGGAGGGAGGCGCGCACCCCAGGGCCGTGTGTCTGGGCGCCAGGGCTGCCGCTGCCTCCCCCGCCTCCAGGAGCAGGTCCCCTGAGGTGGTGGTGGCTGAGCTTGGGAGTGACAGACAGGAGAGTCAGGGGACCTGCTCCCGGACGTTCTCTGCACCAGCGTGAGTGTTTCCCGGGAGACAGCGTGGCCTTGGTCAGGCCCTGCTGTGGGGGCGGGGACCGCCTCTGCTGCCACATCACCCTTCTCCCGCCCACGCCCCCCGCGAGTGAGCCGTCCACCTGAGGTAGAGGCTGTCCCCTGTCCTCTGTGTCCCCCAATGAACCCTCGCCCCACCCCTCTGCTGGTCCCTCCACTGGGCTGTGGTGGTCGGTTCTTACTGCAAAATACCCACCGAAGGCTGGTAGCTGACCTGCTATGTCCAGGGTTCAGAATCACTGCCACTTATCAAGACCCCAGCCACGGCCCTGCCTAGGCCCCGTGGGCTGGGCCTCGAGCGCACCTGGGCAGTCCTCTCACCTGAGCCACCTGGGCCTCGCCCACGCGAGACTGCTGGCGGCCGGGCAGTGGGACGGGCTCCTGTGCTGCCCGAGGGTCGGTCAGTCAGAGGGGGTCCTGAACCCTGACATGTTGGAGACGGCCGGACCATCCAGGCGAGATGCAGCTGTCAGCCTGTGGGGCACCACATGTCAGCAGGACGTGTGTGTGTGTGTGTGTGTGTGTGCCTGTGCGGTGTGCACATGTGGGAGGGAAGGGGCGCGTGTCGGCGCGTGAGAGTGACGGACAGGAAAGGACAGATGTCCAGCGTGTGCACCGGTCGAGAGGGTGGCCTGTGTTTGCTTCCTCTTCCAGTTCACCACTGGAGGTGGGGGCGGACCTCGAGGGAGGGAGGGAGCAGGGATATGAGACCTGGCACCCGAGGGAGGACATGGGCCACGGGGGCTCCGGGAGCAGGTCGCCTTCGGTCCCAGAGCTGAGCTCCGGGCAGGTCTGGCTCTGAGGCCAGGGGCGGGGTGACGAGGTGGCCGTTGGACGTGATGGGTGAGGAGGGGACAGTCTGTAAGCGGGCCCTGAGGAGCCGTGGAGGGGACAGCATTGGGGACACGGCTCCCTGGCTGCTGCTGGACACCCCCCCCCACCCCTGGGACCCGAGGCCACCGCCCCGACCTTCCCTGGACGAGGAGGCAGCACCGGGTGGAGCTGGGACTTGGGCGATTGAGGGCCGGCTCTGTCCTCCTCCCGCCCTGCCTCTTGCTCTGAGCCCAGCCTGCTCTCCATCCTGCTCTGCCCCGCGTGGAGGACGAGTGGACACGGGCGCAGGCCTTGGGGTCCAGCCCACGAGGCCTGCAGTGCGGACAGACGGACAGCACCTCCTCGCGGGGCCCCGCACAGCCCTCGCCGCCTGCTTCTCTCCGCTGCTCCTGTGCGGGGGTTCTCTTGCCCACTCCACCTGGCTCCTGCCCCCCACGGCTGTGTGGGTGACTGGGCCCGTGCTCCAGACGCTTCTTCGTGTAAGTGCACTTACTCCGGGGCCGCCTTGCGCCTGCCGGCTCCGCTAATAAACCTTCTTCTTTCTCAACGCTCTCCTGTCGTCCTCTGGCTCTGCTCCCCCTGCCCTGGCCCTGACGCTCCCTGGCTGAGGTTCGAGGGAGAATTCACGTGGCTCGCGGTTGTGTGGACACGGACTGACCCGCATGCTCGCGCAGGGACAGCTTTGCTTCCCCGGGGGACCCGTGTCCCTGCCGGGCACGTCTGTCAGCGAGCGAGGGGTGTTGGCAGGTGGTGGGTGGAGCCGTGCCCACAGGTGTCTCACCTTTTCTGCCTCAGCGTGGCGTGGAGGCAGCAGCTGGTTTGAGTGCTTGGGGAAGCATGGCGTCAGCTGTTTGGGGGTAAAGCTAAGACCACCAGGCGCCAGGAGCCCGCGGGTCCCTGACTAGATGTCTCGTGTGGGGTCGGGCGGATTCGGAGTGGGTGCATCTTAGAGAGTCTGCTCCAGGGCACGCAGGCTGCCCAGCCGAGGGCTGTGGAGGGCGGGCGGGAAGGGACAGCGGCGGGCGAGTCAGCAGCCCGAAAAGTCAGACCTTGGTCGGCACTTCCAGCCGCTTGGAAGGCAGAGGCTGGTTGGGGGGACGTTGTGGGGCCCAGGCCTGCAGGGAAGTCAGGGGCTCAGGGCGGCTGGGTGGCCTGTGACGTGGGGATCAAGCGCGATGTGAGGAATGGGGAGGCTTCGTTCTGGGACGCCCTGCAGAGCGGAGCAGAGCAGCCGGTGGGACTTGCTGGGCACACTTCCCGCATCCCGGGTCCCAGGGAGGCCACACAGTGCGACAGCAGCGAGCGCCTGTCCTTAGGCAAAACCCTAGACTTGGCACCTGCTGGACAGTGGGTGGAGGTGCCATGCCCTGGGCTTCCTTCTTTTACCACAAACTCTGCCTGTGACTAGGGCGCGGGGGGCGGGGGGGTGGGGGCGTGATCTGGGCTGGCAGAGGACACTGAGAGGGGTGGCAGCCATCTCTCTCCCGGCTCCCACAGACCTGGGTGAGGCCCGGAGCAGCCTCCCTGCCCCGCCCCGCCCCCTCCACACCCTCCCTCCAGGGCCTGTTGAGGGGGTCACGGGCGAGCAGCGAGGGCTCAGGGGACTTTTCCATCCTGGGCACCGGAGGGCAGAGTGAGCACAGAGCCACTCGTCTGCCCCCAGGGGACCAGGTCCAGGGCAAGGTCAGGGCTGCCTGGGACCACCAGCCCCAGAGTGGACAGGCCAGGGCCCGGCTGGCGCTGCAGGTCAAAGTGACGTCAGGCCGCTGGTTGGATGGGGGGAGGGTGGGCAGAGGAGCAGGCATGGGTGTGGGCTGGGACTGGGGGTGCGGGCCCAGCTTTGCAGGAGGGAACCACGATGGTGACAGCAGGAGCGTGGTCAGCTTCCGGGGGCCTCCCGAGGACCTGCAGGGAGGCAGCACTGGGGTGGGTCTCACCCTCAGGCAGCCTCACCGACACCGAGGCCCTTCCCTGAAAAGTCCCCAGGGGCTGGCAGCACGGGTCTGGGCACCTCACTGAGAACTGCCATCTTAGCGGCTCTCCCCGAACCTTTGGTGGTGTCGAGATGGGGTGCGGGCCTAGGGTTGCTAGGCAACTGGTCGCCAAAGGGGATGGAACATGGATGGGACTGGACGGACAGCGGGCGGTGCCGGTGACGGAGACTACAGGGAGCTGTGCTAACGGGTTTATTGGCCTCTCCCTGGAGAGCAATGAGGCTCTGCTGCCGACCGAGCCGCCCGGCTACTTGCGGGCCTGGCCGCCGCCCAAAGGCAGCCTGTCTGCGGGCCGGGCCCAGAGCGCCTTGAGCTTGCGGTAGAAGACGCGGCAGCTGAAGCCCTCCCTGAAGCCGCACTTGATGTGGCTCTTGAGGGAGCACAGGGTGGGGTACATGCGGCAGCAGGCCGCGCACTTGAAGCCGGTCTGCTGGGCCGGGAGCCCCCGGGAGGCCCTCAGGATGTCCTGGGAGCTGATGTGGTCGGCATCCCCATGCCGGGCCTTGGCCTCGCGGGGTCCGGGGTTCTCGGGGGAGGAAGAGGACGAGCACAGGCTGTCGGCCGTGTCCTCCAGGAGGCAGCTGTCGCCCCGGCCCTCGTCCCGCGGCAGCTCGGGGAAGCCGTGGGCCTCCCGGGGGCTCTCCTTGTCCACGCACACGAAGTAGCTGTAAGGGGAGAACCACGGCCGGTAGATGGTGCAGCTCCGCCTCGGCTGCTCCCCATTCTGGGGGTCCCCCAGCATGCAGTCTGCAAAGGAAAGGGCCGGGTCTGAGCCTGGGCACGGGCGGAGGCGTGGGCAGCAGCAGACGGACGGGGGCCTCCCCATCTCCTGCTGGGAAGGGCGGTGTGATCGGTGGGTGGAGGCCCCCATCACTGCCCTGGCAGCTCCCAGGTGCTCCTCTAGGGACAGGCAGATGGACAGCGCAGCAGCCAGCCCTGGACCTCCAAAGGCCCTTGTCTGCCACCAGGATGTGACCATCGCTCCCACCGCGGGTCCCTGCCACAGCCCAGCAGGCAGCCCTGGGAAGTTGGAGAGGAGAGGCCGGAGGCCTGCACAGCCTGGGTCTCTGGGAGGGAAGACCAGAGAGGAGGCTGCATGGGGAAGGCAGCACCTGACACCGGTCCCAGGGGCAGCCCCGGACCTTCTCCCACACCTGTGCCAGGGGGCTCACCTGGCGCCCGTCCCAGGGGCTCACCTGGTGAGAGCACCACCCCTTGCCGCAGAGCGCTGCTCGGGTGCTGGGGCAGCGGGGCCTGCGCTGGGCTGGGTGCCTCCGTGGGGAACGTGGTCTTGGCAATGTCTGGGGGCAGAGGAGATGCTCTTGGAGCTGAGCGAGGGTGGGAGTCCTCCTCCTGGACCCACCAAGACATACCGCCAGGCCCCCCTCGGTGCGTCGGCACCAAGCGGCAGTGAAACTGGCCTCCTCTCCTGCCCCCTCGAGGGTCTGGCCACGGGCCGTGTGGCTGTGCCGTGGCCCCTCCTGAGGACAGGAGGAGAAGGCTTCTCCTATGGAAACATCTCCCCCCACAGCAGAGGGTGCAGGGATCCGCTGCCATCACCTGGGCGCGCTGGGGCTTGGATCAGAAGCTCCCAGGACAGTGGCCCCGCTCGGTCTAGCCAGGTGTGTCGGTGCCTGAGCTGGGCCGCAGGTGTGGGGAGCGTGCCCCTGTGCAGGTCCTGTAGCACGACCTGGTAGGACCTCCCACTGAAGGCCTCAAACCCTGCATTTCTGTGGCCATCCTGGCAGGACCCACCTGGCAAGCTGGGGCCCCGTGGGGACATGAGGTCAGGAAAGGTGCTCAGGGCCGAGGAGGAGACCCGGGGCCCCGAGATGCTGAGGAGTGAGAAGCTCTCCATACTCGGACTGTTGCCGGGCACGCGGTCACACGCCTGCCCCAGGGGCTCCGGGGTTGTCCGGGCGACAAGCATTCTGAGCACAGGTGACCTCACAAGCAGGCCCCAGCATTCCACCTCGGCCGGCTCACCCGCAGGGTCTGTGGCAAGAAAGACCAGCCTTTGTAGAGACGTGCCACCTGTGGCTCCTCGCAGCCGCCTTGATGGAGGGTCCCGGCGCGAGGGGCACGCTGGCCACTCGGCTCCTTCATTACGTTGGTGTCACTGTCGCCCAGCTCTGGGAACCGCTGTCCTCTGAGATCCTCCCTGCTCTTCTCCATCACCTGCTCGACCTCAGCCTGACCTCTGCCAGTGGTGTTCTGTCATTTTAGTTTCTGAGTTTTTTCCCCAGTTTGGGTACATTTTTTCCATGTTCTTTGGAAATAATTCCAAACTTATAAAAAGTTGCAAAAATAAAATTAGTACAAAGAACATGCATAGGCCCTGTCCCCAGATTCTCCTAACGCTACCGTTTCCGCCTGTTCTATGGGCCCCTCCCGCCCTCTGTGTGCAGAGCTCGCTCTTTCCTGAGCTGCTGGAAGGCCGCTCGCCCACACAAAGCCGCTTTGTGCTCTAATACTTCAGTGCCGTCTCCTAGGGGAGCGGGGGTGGTTAAGTGGCAGTGCCGTCTGCTTCAGCAAACGGCCGGCTTACTCCACACTGCTCATTGCGAGCAGCCTGGCCCGCGGGGGCTGTGGAGGGTGAGGGGACAGGGCCTCTTGCAGGTCAGCTGGAGGCACCCCTTTCTAGACAGTTGTGAAGGGTGGCAACTCGGTGCGTAGCCCCTGGTGCGTACCGCGCTTTAGATCTCAAATGGGACACGTTTGTGCCCAGGAAGCGCCCCGCTCTGGGAGCAGCAGGGAGTGCGGGCGTGCCCGGGCCTCTGTGGCTGCCGAGCTGCCGTCCTGTCTGTGATCGTGCTCGGGACCGACCGTCTGCAGGACGGTGCGCTTCTATGAGCCTCACCAGGGCCTGGGAACCGGTGGGCTGGGAGCTGGTGCCGGCACCTTGGCTGTGGCACCTGGGCCAGCCTGTCATCCCACTCCACCCTCAGCCCCATGTGGCACCTGCCCTGGCTCCCTGGCCCCTGTGTTAATTCACACAGTTGGCACAGACGACCCTCCTGGTCTGGAATCTAACGATTTGCGTGTGGAAAAGAGACGGCCCGGTAATGAGTGTTGCGCACGTGGCCATAGGACGTGCGGTTGATCGGCCGCCGTGGCTGGGAGCTCAGGCACTGGGGGTGAAGCAGCTGTGGGGCGGGCCCAGCGCCTGCTGCTCGGGTGGTTGAACGCGGCTGTTTTGTTTAGTTGTTGAAAAGCTGATGGGGAGCTGGCCCCAAGGTCTGTGATAGCTGCGGGGCCTCTGTCTCCTTCCTCTGCCTGGGGGTGGCCCCGCTGGAGGCCCAGGCAGGAGGGGCACGCGCCTGTGGTCCGTCTGCATAAACTGTCTCTCTCTTGTTTGCTCCCCACCTGCTTTCTGAGCCCTTTCTCGGTCGCACAGGTAAGAGACCGTCTTTCTTATGAATCACTGTCCCCAGATGTCATGTGCATGTTGGAGTGTTGGGAGGGCCACGGGGTCCCCTTGCCACCGTTTTCTGAACCACCAGCCTCTGCGAGGGTGGGGCGGAGTGGGGTCATCCGTGAGCCGGAGGGGGGGCCGTGCTGGCCCCTCGCAGGTGTGGGTGGGGAGCCCCAGCCAGCATCTCCCGAGGGACCCCAGGGCCCTGCAGACATCCCCGGAGGAGCAGGCTGTGTGCTTGGAAAAGGCTGGGGAACAGATTCTGAACGTTTCTCAGCCCACGTATCATGTGAAAACTCCATTGGGTGACACCAACTTACTAAATGCCGGCTGTGCACAGGGCCTGTGCCGGGCGTCACAGAAATAAAAACCACACAAGGAGCCCGTCCCCTTGAGGAGGCAGCCTTTCGTCTTGGAGACACGGTCAGCAGGCAGGCTCAGGGGCTGTCCCGAGGGCCTGAGGGGCTCTCAGCTCCTTGAGAGCTCGTAGCACATTCTGAGGAGCGAGGGAGAGTACAGTAGGCCAGCGGCGCCTGGGCCAGGTTACTTCATGTTCGTTAGAAAGTGTTTTTGAAAGAGTAGCAACAGGGGCCCACAGTCGGCAGAGCGCTGCCGTGCTTTCAGCCATGCTGGCTGCTCGGCACCGTAAGCCAGCGGGCGGCCCGGGGCCAGAGGGCTCGCCCTCCCACACCTCCTGATTTGGTGGAAACCGTCAAATGCCTTAGTCTCCCAGGCCTTCGCTGCTGGTTTGCAGATTTCATGATTACAGAAAATGCACGAAATGTGGGACATGATAGCAAATGACGCAGGAAAAAAACAAGCCACCCTCCTCAGGGGGTCTGGAGGTGGAGGCCCTGTTTGGGCTGAGCTGGGAGCTCCTGCCAGGGGGTCTCCACCCCACGCTCCCAGGGACGCCCTCATTGAGTCCCCACAAGTCCCCACAGGGGTGCTTTTCCTGCACAGCGGTCAGGGGACATTTCAGAGGTCAAGACTGCGGTCCATCGTGGAGGGAGGTCTCCACACCTCTTCCCACAGGCGCCTCCTGCCGCCCAAAGACCTTTAAAATGCGGCTTCCCAGGTCACTGGTCAGGAGGGATTGCTCGCTCAGAGTGCTCCCGGCAGGACCCAGCAGCGCAGGCGGGGGAGCGCTCAGCCAGAAGTCCAGCAGAGAAAAGTGCGCCCTCACCTCAGCTCCTCTGAGGACGGCCCGGCAAGGACAGGCGGGTCGCAGAGGTGCTGACCCGCCAGGAGCCTGGGCCAACCAGACCTCTCCTCCCCAGATTGAAGAAACCCATGTCTGGCCGCCGGCGGTGTGAGCTGGGTTTGCAGGGGCGAGGATGCTGAGGGAGTGTGGACAGCATGGCATGGAGTTCTAGCCACTCTCATTACAAACCTTGAGCTACACGCTTGGCTTCCACACTTTTCCATCTGCAAAATGGGGTCAGAATTAAACTCAAAATATTTATTGAGCACCTACTGTGTGTAAGACCCAGGCCCGCTGTTGAAGATACAGAGATGAATGAGACGTGGCCCCTGCCCTCTGAGTGGACTGTGCTAGCCAGAGAGGCCCCGAGGGAGGACGGGCACCAGGCAGGCTTAGGAGCTGCAAGCATCGAATGGGAAAATGGAGCTCTGGTTCCACCTCGGTTGACAGGGCCCAGGCGCCTCGGCAGACAGCTCCTTCCTGTCCGCTCGCCGGCTCTCCGGGGGATGCGTGAGGACAAAGTGAGCTGGGGTCGTCCTCTCCCACTTCGGGAAGCCTCTGCGGGGCTGGCCCACTGTCCCAGGTTCCACCCCGGGGGGTGCGGTCAGCGCCGACTTCCCTGGGGACACTGCTATGCACGAGGCTCCCTGGGGAAGCGCCCACACCTGCCGCCTGCCCGTGCCGTCCAGGCCCGAGGCGCAGCTCACACGTACTCTCAGCAACGAAAAAGCGCCCTTTCTGTGGCCTCATCCTGTTTCCTCACTCCCAGGGGCTCGTGGCCCCGGCGAGGGGACAGCCATGAGTCTGGGAGGCAGCTTAAAGGGGTGGGTTAGCCTTTTCCCGCTCCAGCCGTCACCGCTCACCTGGGCGGGGAGACCAGACTTTCCAGTCCCATGTCCCTTCCAGGACCCGGACGGGGAGGTCCAGGGTCTTGCTGGCTGTCTTGGATGTCCCTACCTCCTTACACAGCCCTGGGTGTGGTGCGGGGCGGGACAGCCGACGGCGGGGGGCACGCCTCCGCTCACTCGCCGCCTCTGTCTGTTCCTAGTGGGGCCACAGCATGTTGAGAATCTGAACACGTCCCTCCCCACCGAAAGCCGCAGGCCGGCCACTCTGGGCCCCAGGCATCCCGGTCGGGGCCCCCTGGGGCCCGTGGAGCCGGGCGGGCCGGGCCTCTGGGTGGGCAGCAGCCAGCACCTCCGGAACCTGGGCAAAGCCATGGGCGCCAAGGTGAACGACTTCCTGCGGAGGAGGGAGCCCTGGGGCCTGGGCAGCGTGGGCGCCATGGAGGTCAACAGGACGGCCGAGGCCCAGCTGGCCGGCGCGCCCGGCGGGGAGGACGACGGGTGAGTGCCTCCCTCCCACCCCAGGGTCCTCACTGCACCACTCTGACCTCTGACCTCTGAGCGAGGCTGTCACAGCCCGAAGCCACTGTGCTGAGCCGCTGAGCTCCATGTTGCAACGGGATGGAGAGCGGGCGTGGTCCGGGCACGGGGGCTGCAGGGGGCAGGGGGGGGTGAGCACACAGCTGGGCAAGGGCTCGTCGGGCAGGTGTGTCACTGTCTCCCCTACAGGCCTGCCCTGCCAGAAGCCGTCCCTCTGCTGGACCCGCCGCCACCCACAACCCGGAAGCGAACGCCCCGGGCACTGAAGACCACACAGGACATGCTGATCTCGGCCCAGCCCGTGCTGAGCAGCCTGGAGTGCTCCCCGCCCCCTGCCCAGCCCGGCCCAGCAGGGGCTCCACCGCCAGAGGCCACTGTGGACGTGGCCCTGCCCAACGGCGAGGCGTCCCTGTCGGTGCCTGACTTGATCCACCCGGACGGCTCGGGCGAGCCCAGGCTAAAGGGTGCCCAGTGCAGGAGGGTCTCCCCGCCCGACCCCACCGAGAGCAGCGGACTCCAGCCCAGCCTCAGCCCTGGCCACCCGGCTGAGCTGCCACAGGACAGCAGTCCCTGCCCCGGGGCGCGGACCTGCAGCCTGGACAGTGAGGGGCCGCACCCTGACCTGCTGTCCTTTGAGTAGAGCCCCTGCACTCTCCTCCACCCTCACCCCCAGCTCCACGCACCCCCACCCTCAGCCCCCACAGCCCCAGCAGAGCCCCACATCCTAGGAAAAGGGCGGAGATGGGCTGGCCCTGACCTCATTCCTGTGGGCGCCCTGCTGCTGGCTGAGCCAGTGGACACAGCCGCTGGCCCCGGGGGCAGGACTGGGGGCGTTCTCCCTGTCTATGCCACACACACCTAGACCCCCACGCTCCACTCTCCTGCCTCGGGGTTGGGGCTGGTCAGGAGTCAGGCTGGGTCAGGAATGATGGGCTTGGCTTGATGATGGGCCGAGACCCGGAGAGCCGGCCTCTGACCGCAGCTCTGCCAGGTCGCCCCTGTCCCAAGTCAGTGCAGGCCCCTGCTGTCCCGTCTCGGGGGAGGAAGGTTGCAGAGCTGTCCTGGGAATTTTCTAGAGATTTTATATTTATACTAGAGGCCCGGTGCACAAATTCGTGCACGGTGGGGTCCCTCTGCCTGGCCAGCAATCGGGCTGATCGGGCCGTCTCGCCCAGTCCAGAATGGGGCGGCCGGCCAGGGGGAGAGGCCACGGGAGGTTGGCTGTGGGGCGCACTGACCACCAGGGGGCAGCTCCTGCATTGAGCATCTGCCCCCTGGTGGTCAGTACATGTCACAGCTACTGGCCGGTCATCCGGTTGTCAGGTCGTAATGGTCACTTAGGCTTTTATATATATAAATTTTTAATAATTTTCTGGTAGAGGACGATGATAATAAAATGATCTGTTTGGTTTTGCTGGTTTGGTCTTTCCTCCCGGCGGGCAGGGAGCAGTTGGTTTTCTGAATCTGATGTGTCACCACAAGCGTGGGATCTGTGCGCCTGAGCAGGGGCACGAGGGGACCAAAGCCGGAGGCGGCGGCCGTGAGACCGCCAGCCTGGGGCCCGGAGAGGGTGTCCCCTAACTGGTCGCTGAGTACGTGTCCCTCTCCCTGTCCTGTTTCAGGGCATCAACGTGATGTGCAGGTAAGACCGGGGAGGAGGCAGGAGGCAGGGAGGGGAGTGGCGGCCGGTCGCCCGGCTGGTGATTCTCTTTAAATTGAACGTATTGGGTGACATTGGTGAGTGACAAGCTTTAGGAGCGAGGTCATAATGTGACACCTGTTGACCGTGTGCTCCACCCACAGTCTAGTCTCCGTCACCGTGCACTTGACCCTCCAGGACTTGACCCCGAGTCGCCGCTTGCAGTTTCATGTCCCACGTGTGAGTGAGGTCGCTCGGTTTTCGTGCTTTTCCGTCTGACCTCACTTAGCGTGACGTTCTCGAGCTCCATCCACGCCGTCACAAATGACAGCCTCCCCCCTTTCTCGTGGCCGGGCAGGCCCTGTGGGCATGCACCCTTCTCTGTCAGTCCTCCGTCCAAGGACACTCGGGGTCTCCATGTCTCGGCCACTGTGGAGAAGGCTGCAGTGACCATGGGGGTGCACATATCTTTATGAATAAATGTTTTTATATTTTTTGAGCAAACACCCAGAAGTGGGATTGCTGGATCATGTGGTAGCTCTATTCTTTTTCTTCTTTCTTCTTGTTTTGTTAATCCTCACCTTAGGATATTTTCCCATTGATTTTAGATGGAGTGGAAGGGAAGGAGGAGAAGAGAGAGAGAGAGAAACATCGATGTGAGAGAGACACATCGATTGGTTGCCTCCTGCACACACTCCTGACCGTGGTTGGAGATCAAACCTGCAGCCCAGGTACATGCCCTTGAGCAGGAATTGAACCCGAGACCCTTTGGTGCACAGGCTGACGCTCTAACCCCTGAGCACACTGGCCAGGACGGTAGCTCTAGTCTTAATTTTTGAGGAAACTCCACACAGTTTCCCGCCAGCAGTGCTGTTGGATGACAGCCATTCCGGCAGGGGCGGGCAGCTTTGATCTGCAGCTCCCTGACTCCCTGCCCTCCCCACCCAGGAGGGCTCTGTGCGCCAGGCAGACAACCTTCAGGGAGGGGCAAGCTGCCAGGACGCTCGGTCGTCATCAGCGTGTCAGTGGGACCCAGAGCTCACCTGGTGCTCCCTCACCCAGTGAGCCTGTCGTGGAGCAGAGCTGGCCTGAGGGACCCCCAGCTGAGACTGACCAGGCCTTTTGCCTCTTCGACAGAAGAAGGAGGGGGGCAGCAGAAGTGGGGGCGTGGGCTCTGCCACTGAGCTCCCAAGGGTCCCTGGCTCCACCCAGAAGTGTCTCAGCACCATCACTGACCACACAGCAGGGGGGCCTCCATCACTGACCACACAGCACAGCAGGGGGGCCTCCATCACTGACCACACAGCACAGCAGGGGGCCTCCACCACTGACCACACAGCAAAGCAGGAGGGCCTCCACCACTGACCACACAGCACAGCAGGGGGGCCTCCATCACTGACCACACAGCACAACA